GTAATGTCGTAGACGGACCCCTGGAATGTGACCCAACAAGACTTGGACGTGTTGTGTTTCGCCACATCAGCGCGAGTATATGTAGTAGACATGGTAGTCACGGCAGTCGAAGAAGCCGAAGGTATGGCGTCGAACAACACGCGTGTGGCGCACGACAGGCTATGGAGGTGCGTCCAATCCCCATTTCCACGCCACTTCGGACCGGCGCCACGTGGATAGGAGACCCATCCCGTCGATAGATACAGCGTAGGGCAACGCAATCAAGGTGTAGCGAGCATCGTACGTAGTAGAAGACTATGGCTTGGGACGGTGCTTGTCGAGATACGCTTGCTCCGCTTCCATTACGGTATTGTCATTCAAACTGCCACCGTTAGCTCACTATACATGATGCGTACTATTGTAAAAGGCATTCATACATGTCCCTGTTTTGCTTACGGCACGCCCATGCCACAGAGAAGAGGCGATTTCGTGAGCACTCGACAAATTCTCCCAAGTTGGCACACTCGCCTACGCACCTTGCACAATAGGATCACATTTCTTGAATGCGTCGAGTCTTACTTCCTTCAGAAACTTTTCATATTCCCGGTTGCTCATCACACGCGATGTATTAGACATGATGTCTGGTCCACCTGCTTCGTGCGCGGGAGAAGGCAGAGGGGTCGGAGCGATAGTCCCTCCACTCGCGCTTTTTTTCCCACAGACCGACCGCCGCGATGGGTGCGGTGGCACGCACGGGCGTCAAGGCTGTGGGCAAGCCCAAGACAAAGGCAAAGTTACGATACTTGAAGGCGAAGAAGCACAGAAGAAAAATTCGCAAGGCTTCTGGGCCCAAGCCGTTTGGCCAAGGCAAGAAAAAAAAGCTCGTGGATGAATCCCACACCGAGGAACCGCACGAGGAACCCAAGGCCGCGACCCATGCTGCCGTCGAAGAAGACGCTTATGAGACCACAGAAGAAAGTGACTCCTCGTCAAAGAGCGAAGAGGATGAAACGTCTACAGAAGACCCGCCTCTGCTCGTGACAGCGGACTCTTTGCAACCCTTGTGCGACGACGACAACGACGACGTGGCGCAGAAGGATGCCGCTCCAAGCAACGACACGTCCTCTCCCAAATATCTGTATCGATTCCCACGTCCCCAAAAAACAGGCGAAGCCCATGCGCAGCAGCTTGCAACACAAGGTATACCCGATGCATTGGCACGGCCTGTGGACGTGATCGCGACACAAACGGAATCACTCATGGTCCCAGATGGTCTGGGCTCCTCTCTAAGTCCTACTGTGCGCCAACAGCTGCACAAGCTTGGCATTACGGAATGGTTTGCCGTGCAAGCCTCGGTGGTGCCATGGTTGCTATCCGATTGCAAGCAGAGCAGTCTGTATCTTCCTTACACGCCTCCGCGCGATCTCTGTGTGTCAGCACCTACAGGCAGCGGAAAAACATTGGCATATACTGTGCCTATTGTGGAACTTTTGCAGACAAGAACGGTCACACAACTTCGTGCACTGATTCTTGTGCCGACACGAGATTTGGCGGTGCAGGTGCGGGACATGTTTGAGGCGGTGGGGAAAAGGAGCGGCCTCACAATAGCCATGATCACAGGTAACCACAGCTTTCGCCACGAACAGGCCCAGCTTGTGCGTATGGACGGGCCCTATACCCGGAGCATGACCGATGTCCTCATTGCCACCCCGGGACGACTCGTGGACCATCTGCAAGGCACGCCCGGATTCACCCTAGAGCATTTGCGTTTTCTTGTCATTGACGAGGCAGACCGTCTCTTGGGACAGTCATTCCAGCAATGGGTGAGCACTCTGCTAGATGCTTTGGAAAGCCCACGGTCTATATGGATGCCGCTTGCACCGCAAACGCACTACCAGCAATCGGAATCATGGACCCATGATGATATGGATATTCCGCAGCACAGTGCGCAAAAGTTGCTCTTCTCTGCCACATTAACACGCGACCCAGAGAAAATGACAGCGCTGCGGCTGCGCGACCCGCACTATATTCGCGTGCGCGACACAGAGGGGCAGGAAAACGACGGCGAGCATGAGCGGTTTGCGCTGCCCTCTACTCTCTCCCAGCATGTCATTATCACGCCGAGCAGCGACAAGGTGCTGCATCTCCTCCGCTTGTTGCACAGCGAGCGTGACCCAGTGCGGCAGGCGCTCTGCTTCACGAAGAGTGTGGAAGCGGCGAACCGATTGGAGCGCCTGTTGCATTTCTTTGAGGAGGCATGGTCTCAGCAGCAGCAGGTGCCTGCACTTCACGTGCAGTTTTATTCCTCAGACCTGAGCACAGGTGATCGCATGGCCATGCTTCGCAAGTTCCAACGCGGGGAAATCGATTTGTTGGTTTGTTCAGATCTTATTGCGCGGGGCATCGACTTGCCAGAGGTTCGGCACGTAATCATGTACGATGTTCCCATTGACATGGCCAAGTACGTCCATCGTGTGGGTCGGACGGCGCGCGCTGGTCGTGCAGGCGATGCATGGAGTCTGGTCGAAGAACAAGAGGTATTCCACTTTAAGCGCATGCTTAGTGAGGCGGGCCAGTGGGAACGAGTACAGAGCGAGAAAGGCAAGACGGCCAAGCTTGAACCGTATATGCCACCCTACAAAGAAGCCCTTGCACGCCTGGCGCAAGTCTATAGTCAGCAGCGGTAGCCTTAACCCAGCACATTTGTCGCTTTTTTCTTTCGCTTTACACTTTTTTGGAAGGAACGCCAGCCTGCTGTTAGATGAACATACGTACCGCTTACGCGCTCTTCGCGCGATTCATCCCAGGCATTATCCATCTCGGCCCGGCGCTTTCGTTCCATCTCGGCAGCTTCGCGACGTTGTGCTGCATCAATCTCGGCTTCTTGCTTCATTTGAATCGCCCTGGATGTCAGAGATAAAACGCACTTTCTCTTTTTTAGTTCTTCATCAAGAATGATATGCTTTACATTGATCTTGATACGATCCTCCCAGGATGGCCGCAGTTGGTCCAAACGCCCGCCGGGCACCTGCTCTAGTTCAATTTCCTCCGCTGTCATAGTGATAGGCAGACCCAACTCACGCAAAGCAAGTAGTCGCGCGCTGTCCACAGTCTCATCGACAAACTTGCGTTGACTTTCATCCAGGAGGCTATCCATCGACTTTTTCAGCAAGTCGAACGCCTCTTCAGCACGTTGCTGGTCGTCCTTCATCTTGTCGGGGTGGATAAGCAAACTCTTTTTACGATAAGCCTTTTGGATTTCCTTTTCATCCGCATTCTGGGTAAGATCAAGCACATCATAGGGATTCATACGGAAAGCAACATGCAGGATGCGGTCCACTTCGCGCGTCTGTTCACGCGCGTATTTTTCTTTCGCTAAGCTGTGAGAATGTGGATCACTTACCAGAGAGCTTCGGCTCGGGTTTTGGCTCGACCCTTCTATTCAAAGGAGGACGTGGTGGCGGCCCTGGCGGCCTGCGCGACGGCCCCGCCTCCGACATGATGTATCGGCAAGAAAGGCCAGGCCCGATCTATAAAAAATCGGCGCGGCACATGCATGCTTACGCACAAGGCAAGCGCGTCGCGTACAGCATGGACGAGGCTTTTCACGCACCCAGCATGCGCGACTCGACGGCCGCGACCAAGCAAAGCCAGGACGCCAAAGAGGTCCAGGTGAGCAAGAGAAGCTCCTTCTTTAAGGATGTGATCATGCTTCGCTGGCTTGTCTCGCCCAAATTGGCGTTTCAGCTTGCGTCCATGTTCGTCCTTGGCTATCTCTTGTTCGAATATGTCGTCCCCGTGAGCTTCAACCCTTTCCGACCCTTTTTATTCCTTTCATATCGTCTTCCTGAAAGCCAAGTGTTGCTTCGTATCGCACAAAACCGCATGTACGGCCCTCCGCCGACCTACTCGAGTGACAATGCGGTTGCTACGGCGATCCGGAATTTCTTTCAAGGGGTGCATGCGACGCTGTTCCCGAACGAGCCCAAACTTTTGCGCTTTGGAAAGGGTGTTTTAGATGTGCTTTTTATGTCCTACTATGTGATCGTGTTTAGTTTTCTCCGTCAAATTATCACAGAGAGCCTGTTCAAGCCACTTGCGGCCAGGTGGGGCATCAAGTCTCCGAACAAGCAGACGCGCTTTGCCGAGCAGGGATATGCATTGACATACTGGGGTACGACCAGCATTATTGGTCTCTATGTCATGTCCTTCCAGGACAGCTGGTGGTACAATCTAGAGCATCTCTGGTACCAGTACCCCCACTGGCAAATGCGGCCTGAACTGAAGCTCTACTACTTGTTGCAGGCTAGCTACTGGCTCCAACAAGCCTTTGTCATGCTACTGGGTCTGGAGCGGCCGCGTAAGGACTATTATGAATTGGTGGCTCATCATCTTGTCACTCTCTGGTTGATTGGATGGTCCTATTTTATCAACCTCACCATGATCGGAACGACTGTGTTTGTGTGTATGGATATTCCGGATACGTGGCTTGCTGTACGTGGTGCGAAACTAATGACCGATAGCTCTCCAAGATGCTCAACTACCTGGGACTCAACTTGGCTGCAGCCATCACCTACTCGTCGTTCATGGTGATCTGGTCCTACTTTCGCATTTATTTGAGCGCCCTTACGATCTATTCTGTGTATGCGCACTACCCATTGATCCCCGCTTACGCGCGCACCTTTTATCCATCGCAAGGTCACTGGCTGGTCTGGTGGATGCAATGTCATGTACGTATGGAGGCTAACGTCGCAGGTATTTGCACCCCTTTTCCTATTGCTCCTCCTCAACATTTTCTGGTATGTCATCATGTGGCGAGTTCTCTATCGGTATGTGCAAGGTAAACTAATCACAGTGCCGTGTACGGCGTGTACGGTGATACTCGGGAAGATGGCGAGGACGATGAGCCTGCCAAAGAGGAGTAAATAGCAATACCTCGATTCAACTACCTAGCTCATCCTTACGTGCAAGGATCGAGAACGAGGCGAGTGTCAGGCCAAAAAAAAAAGAAAGAAACCGACGGGGCGCACTGGGAATTGAACCCAGGACCTCTTCTATGAGCTTAGTCAGAGACTAATCGCCCTAAAGAAGAATCATACCACTAGACCATGCGCCCAAAGTCATTGGGTGCTCGGGTAATTACATATTTAGATAGCATTACGTCAGAGGCTCGCGGCAAAAAGACGAGGGGCGCACTGGGAATTGAACCCAGGACCTCTTCTATGGATCGTACCATAGGTAGCCCTAAAGAAGAATCATACCACTAGACCATGCGCCCGTACGATGCCAAATTAAGTGGCATTTGCGTATACCAGCCAGCATGCAAGTCGAGGACACCAGGCGTATGGACCCCGATGCGGCCGAACCAGCCATGGGCATGCTTGCATTACTATTATATATCGTATCGAACGCGAAAGGCTGCTACAAAGCAGTCATTAGAGTTCACATCAGACGCAGTGCCCTCAGAAGAATCGCCGGGTAGAATCATGAACCCGAGGGGGCCGCAGCCGCAATCAGGGCAGGTGAGGTATTTCACAATGCGCGTTTCTCCCGGCTGAACATCGAGTTTGTATTCCTCAGGGACCTTGGATACGACATTTGCAGTTTCCGCAGTTTCCAGAGGGCGTGCTGGTCGGCGCAAATTTACTAGGCTGCTGCGAACCGAATCGGAGCGCCGACGACGGGTATGTTGGCCAGTGTCGGAGGCCTTGGTTGATTGATCGGAGCCCGATGTATTGCTCCTAGATGGTGGGGGGGCATTGTTGGAACGTCTTGGTACGATCCATGTGACGTCTCGGCTGAAAGAGATGTTATCAAAGCTCATGGGGCCAGGCACATGCCAAAAGCCCCGAAGAGGACCGATGGAGTCGATCGATGTGCTCGTCGACTGGAACAAGGAGTTGAGCCAAGGAGCATTGCTCTGTGGTACTGCACCAGAATTGAACGCCTCATGGTCACTCTCGGATACGGGAACAGAATCCGTCAAGGGGCCTGTTTCTCGGATGGTCCACTCGGACGAGTTGCGATTGAGTAGCACACAATCGCAGTGCTCGTTGGGACAATATAATCGATGCATATTTAGACCATAGTTGCGGTCAACCAAACGTGAGACCAGGGCTGAGCGAAAGTCTTCGGATGCCGTTTTTGCGGCGATCGCTTGACCGAAGATGCGCTCAAACGAGCAAGCTGGATTTTTCTTGCGCTCCGAGGAGGACGGAATCGGTACACCCAAATCGCGTGCCGCGCCCTCAGAAAGGCTGGCATTTTCAAGCAATATAGACAGAATCTGGTCATGGGACAGGCTGGTAGCCGTAGGAGTCATGACAGTGGGAGAGAGAGATTGAGTGCCATGGTGCGTGGGACTGTAAGGCATAAAGCCCATTTCATGGTCGCTACTGCTCAGAGACTGAGAGCCAGAGTTGGGCTCCATATGCATACTCTGCGATAGAGAACCGAGCGACAATGGGAACAACTGGTTCATCTCGGCCATATCGGCGGAGACGAAAGACGTATCGCGAGAATGGTCAATGTCCTTGTGAACAAAGCGTCTCATCTCCAACCAGGGTTCTTCCGCGATGTCGATGTAGCTAGCACCGTGACAGACAAAGTCAAATTGCTCAAAGAAGGATACGCGTTTGGGTGGACACACAGCTGATACCACCTCATATATTTGACTGTGTTGGGCGTCGCCCATCATCAAGTGGTGTTGGAGCTGGTCGAGCAAAGCTCGTACGAGCCTTTTCCCGAGGCCCTGACGGCGATGAGAAGGATCCACGCAAACCTCGTGAATGCATACCACTCTGGCTAGACTCGAGTGGCTGTGGCCATGCCGGCTTTGCGCGATAGCGGCGGGAGCGGCTGTCGCACTACACACACCCACCAGCTTACGCCGAGGCTCACTGGACGTCACGGACAATGGACCCGCCACCATGGGTGAGGACATATTAATGAATGCTCCGATCGTGAGTTTGGGTGCTTGTTCGAGGCGAGTCATGATGCTGGAATAGGGCGGGGCCACCTCATGCGATAGGCATGTTGATACGAGCGACTGCATCGATCGTCCATCTTCGGGCCGGAGGGTGTCCAGGTAGAAGTGGTTTTTGTTATTCTGTTTGGAGGATGACTTGTTGGAGCGACCCGACGAGGAAGACCCAGGAAACAAGTCGCGGCTGCCCCTGCGACCCGTATCGGACCGTTCCAGGAGACTCGATGCCAAACCTTGAGAGCGCCCAAAATTGATAGAAAATCCAGACTTTGCATTATCTGGTGTGCTTGGTTCTGACGTTGTTGCACTGCTGTGGCCCTCAGCGCTTTCTGGGGTGGCCCCTTGGGGAGGCTTGGACAAGCGGCCCAGCGGCATGACGCCGGTGTGCAACGCAAATGCGCGCGGACGGCGAGGCCTAGAGATTGATTATGTCAATATGTGTCAGACGGTCAGGGTCGGACAGGGGCGTGGTTGGTTGCCGAAGGCCATGGAACGACACAGCAGCGTGCACGGACAACGTGCGTGCTGGCAGCGTATATATATAGAGGGACCGCCTTTCATTAACCTACACCCCCATATTTGTGTACGTACGGGCACACCCTTGTTTTTTTTTTCACGCGTCTAATACAGGATGGCTTTTACCCCTTCTGTTGTTCGCCAATTTGCAGCTACTTCTCGCGCCATGTCGAACGTGTTCTTTGACATTACCAAGAACGGTGCCCCTCTCGGTACTATCAAGTTCAAGCTGTTTGACGATGTTGTGCCCAAGACCGCTGCCAACTTCCGTGCCCTCTGCACGGGCGAGAAGGGCTTTGGCTACGCTGGCTCGCACTTCCACCGTGTGATCCCTGACTTTATGCTCCAGGGTGGTGACTTTACCGCTGGCAACGGCACTGGTGGCAAGTCGATCTACGGTGCCAAGTTCGCTGACGAGAACTTCCAGCTCAAGCACAACAAGCCTGGTCTGCTGTCGATGGCGAACGCCGGCCCCAACACCAACGGCTCGCAGTTCTTCATCACCACTGTGGTGACCAGCTGGCTCGACGGCAAGCACGTCGTCTTTGGTGAGGTCATCGAAGGTATGGACGTCGTCAAGGCTATCGAGGCCGAGGGCAGCGGCAGCGGCAAGACCCGCAGCCGCATCGAAATTGCCAAGTGCGGTGAGTGCTAAGTGCATGATGCCATAGGTCCATACACTATTCTAGCGAAGGACCATCCACAGCGTTCCAGCCGCCAAACCGCTCATCGCCGAGGGCTGTGCCGCCCCGTTCGCCCGGCGTGAGGGCGCCAGCGCCACGCTTGCGCCACGCCTCGCGTGTGACGAGGCGGGCCTCTAGGCTTTGCGCCATGGCCGACGTGGGCGGTGCATGGAGAAGGGCTAGGGCGCCACGTGCAGGCGCTTCGAGAGGGTCGCCCGGCATGTATACATGAACGGGCACATCATCAGGGGCCAGCATGCGGAGTTCGCGCTCACTGAAAGTTAGCGAAATGTACGCACAGCCTTTGTCGTAGTCCGGGCACTCGGGCCGAACCGCCCACCAACACGACATGGCTCCACAGGAGAGCCTGCGCGTCTGGCGGGGCCCGCTGGATCGACTGGGCCACGAGCTCATGAAGAGGCGCTTGGTCCAAGCCTGGGTCAAAAGGTATAGCGTACCTATACGGTCCGGCGAAAATAGGTATTCGAATAGCTGGTAGCGCTCCTGCCCCAAGCGCAACATCTGGTCCCCGGTCTGCGAGCGCGGCGGTGGACAAGACGGGCCAGCGATAAACGCATCGAGTTCGTCGTCGGGCAAAGGCGATTGTGTGGGAGGTGGTGGCCCACTGAGCACATAGCCATATTTGGTGCGGGGATCCGCCGCGTCGTCCGGCGTCGCATAGTCTGGCAACACATATTGCTGGACCATGGCATTGTCAGGGTGGCGACTGACGTCAGATAGGCGCACGTACTGAAAATGCTCGACAAATTGTTCAAAGCTCCAGGAGCTCGGCGGCCCGCTCGGCTCGTCACCGCGTTTGTAGGCTAGATGCTCGCTCCGTGCCGCAACAAAGCAGGACGCCGCCTTCATCTTGTCGATCAAGTACGTCTCGTCCATCATATTCCACTGGCGATAAGAGAACATGACCTTGAGCAGGTGCGTCAGAACCCTGCCACCTAGATCGAGCCTACTGTTAGTGGATAAGCGTACCTCTGCGCCGCATTCCACAACGCGGCGCCGTTCACCACCGGGACTGCGTGGGTATAGCTGTGGCCCACGTCGACCACGATGAGGGCGTCGGGCTGCGGCTCGATAGCATATGGCACGAGTTGTGCAGCTAATGTTACTCACTGGATACGTACGTGTCGTTCTCCATATCGCTTCCGCTTCGTACCAATCGAAAAGAAGCATGTCAAAAGCGCGCTGCTGCTCGGGCAGCAAAAAGTAGGGTTCTGTTACGATGACGGTGATGCCCCGCAATGCGCCAAAGGTATCCGTATTGCACCCAAGTGCCCTTACTATAGCGCGGTCCCATACAGCTTTTTGGGCCTGCCAGTCGACAACGAGCCCTCGGTCGACAGGAAGGCGGAGCTGGAGCCCACCATAGTCGAGGCACTCGGACTCGATCAGATCGCCCACGAGGACTTGCCGGCGCGCGCCCGCACGTGTACGTGCGATGGCATTGGGAAGGATATGCAACTCGTGCGCTCCGCTCACTGCGATGCGCACATGCGCCGCGCCCGTCTCGAGCACCAGGCCCTGTCGCGCGTCGCCGCGCGGCGTTCGCATGAGACCAACGTGTGGAGGTTTATCCTGCCCCGAGCCATGTCGTTTGGACGACCACCGACGTTTTCCAACTTTCAGGTGCTCCCGCCGGAGCGCGGTTCCTTCCCGCTGGACCATGACGGTACGCATGTGTATCTAACAGACTAGGAGATTGTACCGCCGCCATGCTCGAGTATCTTTCGTGCCTCAAGGCCCATCAGAATAACAATGGCGCATGCCGGCACTTGTCCAAGGCCTACTTGGCTTGCCGCATGGAGCAGTGCGTATACTACAGAGCTAACGGCTAGTGAATTGATGGAGAAGGAAAGCTTTACAAATCTGGGCTTTGCTGACATGGCGTCTAATGGTCCATCGGAGCCGCCACAG